CCCAAAACATCTAATGAACATGTTGAAAGAATGGGTGTTATTAGACGTCATTAATGTTATTGTATTATGTCTGTTTTGTTTAATGATATGACACTATGAGCTCACTTTTGTTCCCAGTATATCTTGTTTTCAATTTTGTATACATGATTGTTATAGATAAATGTTTGACAGGATAGTCTTAATGAAGACATTAAAGTGGACATTATTATACCTCTCAAGTATAAATCATTTTAAATAGAGGTCTAATGTTGTAGTACATGGAAGGGAGTGTGTTGATTCAGTAACGCACAACCGCCATGGCTCACATTATATTTTCTATTTAATTATGATATTATGTGGTAGTCAATTAAAGGAAAGTTTTTAGTATAACATACTTGTGCCCATTATTGTTCTACTATGAAATCATGTCAAGAATATTATATAGGCCAAGTGGGAGAATGTAAGAATTATGTGGTCCACATAATAAAATAAAAGCCCATTAATATTATTTATTTTAATGGCTTAATAATTTTCTTAATACTAAAATCCTATTGGTTATGAGGGGTTACAACTCTTATGGAGGGATGTGTGCTTTGATGGAAGGCACTAATTCATGGTCTATAAAATAAGAATCAGTCCTCTCTCTACCTAAATTTTGTATATCTTCTCTACATCAGAAAAATACATTAAAAATTACGGATGGTCTAAAGAGAGAAACTTAGATTCTACTTCTCCTTCAAATTCTCTGTAAAAGTGATCTTCTTCAAATCAAATTAATGAGACAATGTACGCTTTTAATTCTAATTATGTGTGAATCATAATGTTTTAAGATCTTTGAATATTATAGATCTAAAGTTTACATCACCCTCCCTACGTAAGAATGGTGCAATCAATTTCCGCAGAAAAAGAAGTTAGGTATATGTAAGAACTATGACCAACACAGAATATTTTGTATCCAGACTTGCCTTTGTGTTAAATATATAAGAGAGTGATGAGCTCCCACTAAGTTTATCAAGAGGAGGAAAAAAAGTTACGACACCACAAATTAAACATGCTAAAAGGAACTTACAAATTCAACATAAGATTAAAAAGAACGCAAAAATTGGTTGAACCGTCTAAGCAAGAATCTCCTGAAAGCCATGAAAACTCTGACTGATACAATCGATGGCAAAAACATTACCGCCTCAAATGATAATTAGCACATGACTATTAAAGGAACTTGAAATCCTTACTGCTTCACGTTCAAATTCTACGCTTTTACGAACAAATATAAAGCGTACAATATATACTTCTTTTTACATACCGAGTAGCGGTGTTTAATGCCGCTCCAAATTAAAGCATAGACGCCCTACTTCTCAAAATGCAAAACACACAACCGCAGAAAAAAGATGGCTTACAGATCCTCTATCTAGCAGAGGAACTCTTTGACGTCCAATAGTGCCATGCATCTCTGCACACAGTCACTACTGATCCTGCCAAAACGAAAGGAAACAAATTTACACATACACACACGCATATATGCAGTTTCAAACCTCACTAAAAGAGTGGTTTTAGCATCTTCCTTTCTTGTACTGATAGTCCTGCTATCATTCTATAGTTACTGCTTGGCCAAAAAAATGATATTGTATATATGAAAATTTTTGTATCAACATAGTGTGTATCAGTGTTCATATTTCTTTTAGAGCATGATTTTTTGGTGGCCTTATGATCAGAGTAAAGCCTGAATTAAGCGATGTTGGCAAGGTTATATCATCCTCAAAAAGGCATGTCACAAGCAACCACATCATGCCTTTGCTTCTCAAGTGTAGCCATGAGGTATGTTGTTTATTTCTAGGGTGTATCAAAGCATAACTGCACTCTTGTTATAAAAATAAAAAATAGAATGTCAAAAAATGGCCGATCTGTCCGCGGGTTTTTTGTGTTTTATTTATGTGTGTCTATCAAAAAAATTGGTAGCCACTGAGGTGAGTTCCACATTGGCGGAACTTGTGATATTACAGTGTCCATAAGTGTCTTTTCAGTCAGCAGTTGTTTCGATGGGATCACTAATGGGACTCACTTATAGGCTACGATGTTACCTCCCCTGAAACCAATCCCTGTGGTCGATTTATCCGTAGATTTTGTGTTCTACTTCTGTGTGTTTCTATGAAAGAAAAAGTATTATTTTATTACTTTGCTTGGCCAATGTCATTGCACGGGAAATTCCACCCCAACGTGCTTAGTTTAGCCCAATCTAATACGATCTTGTGTCCTGGCATGCTTGATTTGGAAATTTCCCATGCCATTCTAACATGCTCAATGGCCGGCCCAATCTAATTGGCATAAACAAATCACTTAAATATCTATTATCACGTTAGTATGATCACATTATACATCCGGTCTATCCGGTCTATTGAATAATTTTTCGATTGAAAGAAATCAAAATGTTTCCTTATAATAGCCACATGTATAAAGATGTCTTTTATTTCCAAAAATGCACATGCACTAAAAGTTCCACACAAAATCTGATTATACTTAACCTCACACGACCAGTGGCGGAGGGAGCATATGCCCCACACCCGACGATTTTTTTTTTTTGTTTTTTTTTTTTTTTTTTTTTTTTTTTTTACATATAGTTTTTCAAAACTTTTAATATATGCCCCTCTAAATTTTTGAAAATTTGTTTTATTGCATGTAGTTTTTCAAAATTTTTCCCCTGAATTTTTGAAATTTGTTTAATTGCATTTAGTTTTTCAGGAATTTTTTATATATGCCTCCTCATTAATAAGATCTTATACATACCTCCTCATTAACAAAATTTTTCTCTAATTTATTCGTATTAGTTTTTTTTTGAAAAATATATCTTGACTATATTTTTTCTTTCTAATTTATTTACCCATGTTGAAGTAATTTTTTCTTTTTCAATGTATCCATTACTTAAATATTTTTGTTCATACGTTTTTATAGTTTTTGAACACAAATCTTTAGAAATGTAGCATATTATGTACTTTTTTTTTCCAAATTGCCCGACCAAAATAATTTTTAATATGTCTCTACTTAAACATCTTTTTTCTGCATCCATTTCAAATATTATTTTTCTCTTACATACCCTCTAAATAATTTATTTTCAAATTTTTCACATCAAGATAATTTTCATTAAGTGTTCTTCTTTATTTTTTTCACTATACTATATGCATAAGAGAATAATGAATCAGGTTAAAATTGAACTTTTATGAAATCTCTTCTACGACGTAGAAAATGATTAAACAAATTAAAACTATGTATATTATTAAGAGTTGATAATTTAATGGTTTTGAAGGCTTTTCACGTGTTTAACTTACAGCCCCCTTAAATTGAAATTCTGGCTCTGCCACTGCTCAGGACATAAATATATTTTAACGTGTGGGTCTTATACTGATCAATTATGATATGAGTAGTTATGCAAGTTGAAAAAGAGAAACTTTTGCGGTAGAGTATCCTTTTTTTTTTGCTTGAAGAGTATTCCAGTTCATATTACCTATTTCTAAGCATTAGATAACACCTGAATTATAGCAAAATAAAACAACATAAAAATTCCGACGAATTCCTATAAGAATTTTTGCGGTTCAAAATTGTACATTATTGAAAAATAATTTTTCTTTATATTGTCAAAGAATTATGTTGAAAAGATATTTTAGATAATTCTTTGTAGAAAGTCATTCCAAAAGGAGATTGATTTTAAAGGGGGAAAAAGAAACAAATTTAAGGTTCATAATCGGTTGGTAAAAATTAAAATATCATCTCTTACCCTACAAATATTCAACTAAATAGCTAAATAATAATTCATTTCAAGACGTTACCAAATTTGTTCAAGAAAGTGTCAAAAAGCTATAGTCCCTTAAGAAAAGTACGTTCTAGATCCCCAAACTAAAAAAAAGGGGTTTATTTTCTACGGGTTTTACCCGATCTATGCACCTATTCTCTCTTTATTCCTGAGTTTTAAGAAGTGACTTCTTTTTTTTTTTTTTTTTTCTAATTTTTGGGAGGATTTCCGTTGTAGTTTTAAAATCTATTATTATTATTATTATTTGATTTAAGTGGAGAATTTAAACTCTACACCTAGACAAATCATATATGAAATTATCGTTATATTATATCTGCAACAATTTAGATCAGGTGACAATTCACTACTTCAAACATGTACCACTTTATTATGAACTGAATAGCTGTTAAACTTTGACGAAGAAAATGCACATGAGATCATGTGAGGGGTGACAAAAATATTGAGAGATTAAGTGCTATAATGGCATTTCCCTCCTTAAAAACATAAATAAAGAACATTAAATCCCTAATCTTCTCAAAACTACAAAAGAACAGTCTTTGAGAAACATTTATTTATTTATTTTTCTAATATTGAATCCCTTATAACTGCAACCGAACTTTATAGAATGTTCTTTTCCCTCAGAATCTTTGTTCATATTTTTCTCAGATAATCAAATTGAGCAAATTAATTTGCCCCAAAAACTCGATGCTACAAACACAATAAAATCTCCATCTCTTTCTAGCAATTGTATGTCCGTTTCAAGGCTACGAACTTCAGAACAATATATAAATAAATTGTTATCTTCTTCTATATCCAAGGTTGTCTTGTCTTTAGAATTAATAGATGGTAAAACTGTAACCACATTAGACAGAAATAATTCTAGCCTCCAAATTGATGTTTGAATTGAGAATGAATTGGCATTAATGATAGTTTACAAAAACAAAAAAACAAAAACAAAAGCAAAAAAAGAAAAACAACTAATGACACAAAGGGTAAGGTGATATACAAGATTGTAAAATCTATTTTTTAAAATTTAGGAGACAAAGTGAAAATATTTACAAAGTTTGGAGGTCCAAGGGGAAAAAAAAAAAAACAAAACAAAGAAGATAGAAGAAGAAAACTTCTCACCTTTCTAAATTCTAATTAAGCTATAGCTAGTAGAACAAAGAAATTCTGTTCTTTGGTTGATCGATGCAATGACAAAGAATGAACAAACATTAATCTCTACATATATGGCCATAATTTACATTCACACAAAAAGGAATATATATTCATCAACTTGTTTTTAGTCATGACAAAGCAAGGCCTAGAAAATCCGAGGCAGATCTTGCCATAACAGTTGCAAACTCATTGAAGCTAATAGCGCCATCTCCATCCACGTCAGCCTCCCTGATCATCTCCGTCAGCTCCCTGTACGTCAGCGGCTGCCCCATCTTCGCCATCGCCCCCGCCAGCTCTGCCGCCGTGATGTAGCCGTTTCCGTCCCTGTCGAACGACCGGAACACCTCGAGAAGCTGCTCTTGGTTCACCAATATCTCCTCCTTCATGTCGGGCAATATGGCATTGACAAGCTCCTCGAACTCCACCGCGCCATTGCCGTTTGCGTCGACGTTGGACAGCAGCGCTTGGACTTGGTCCCCCGACGGCTTGAGCCCGAGGGAGCGGAGCAGCGCCGCCAGCTCAAGGATCGTGAGGCTGCCGTCGGAGTCCATGTCGAACCGGGCAAAGATTGTTCTTAGCTGGTTGAGTTGGTCAAGTCTAATTGCATGCATTATGGCTTTTTGGAATAAATGTTATGATCAAATTACACAATGTGTGTTTGTGTGTACGAGAAAATGAAGAAGAATATTTTCTGGGAAAATGTTGTTGGTGAAATTGTCGTATGGTGTTTTGGGAGGAAGATTGTTTAATTGTGTGTGTTCATGTATGATTTTTTGGGGTTGGTTATGGCTTTGAGGCTGAAAGTTTTTTTGTTCTTTTTGGTGAGGCTAAATACAGCTAGAGAACTGAAATTAAGCGCGTTCGGTGAGTATTTATTTTTGTCCAACACATGGAGGGCTTGTGAGAGATTCTATGTAGTATGAGGATATGATTATATAAATATATATATATATATATATATATATATACACACACACACACAAACACAAATTATATATATGGGTTGTGTGTCTTTGATGGTGTAATGAGCTTTCTAGGAAGCTCAAAATGAACTAATTTGCCAGTTGGTCATGTTGGTAGGAGGTATGAGAGAGATTGACCTTTCCTTTTTTTTTATTTAGAGAGAGAGAGAGAGAGAGAGAGAGAGAGAGAGAGAGAGAGAGAGAGATTGACTTGCTTTGGAGCTTGTGGCATGTGGAGTGGACTTTATTGGTTCACTTGGAAATTATGCCAGGGGAAAGAGAAACATTACTAGATAATGAACGTTATTGCTTTTTGTAAATTTATTTATTTGGCCCTTTTTTTTTCTTTTTACGACTTTTGAACGTATATTCTAATGCATTTTAAATCTTTTCCCCTAAAATGGTATCTTATGATTATGGTTATCAACTTACTTGACGGTGCTGCCACCATATGCCTAAACTCAGTTCTAACTTGCTTTTGTGTGGTTAAGTTCATGAATGAAACTTTTAACATAGAACTTGTTTGGCAGAGTTTTTAGTTTTAATTAATAGAAAAAAAGTAATAAAAAGTTTTTACTTTTACTTTTAATCAATAGAAAAAAAGAAACAAAAAGTTTTTACTTTTATTTTTAGCCAATAGAAAATGAGAAACAAAGGTTGTATTTGGAATTGTTTTTATTTTTATTTTTCACGTTTTTTAAGAAAAAAAATAAAAATGAGAGAGAAACGACGTTTGGCACAATTAAAGACAAAAAAGAAATGAAAACGATTTTTTAATTTAGTGTAAAATGATAGAGAAATAAAAAATGACTTTTTAGTCATTTTTCATTTTTTGTTTTCGTTTATCCTCTCTCGAGCAGAAAGGGAGAGAGAGACATTAATATAACTTTTTATACTGAAAATAATCTCTTGATAAGACTACAAAACGCATTTTCAAAAATGACTTATGTCTAAGATTGAAAACGTTTTCATTTCCATTTTCATACAAAAAATAAAATCATTTTGGAACGAGTTCCTAACGCACCTAAAAATTATGGCTTTTCAGTAAGTATTTAGAACTAAGAGCTTATTGGGTCAAAACTATTTTTAAATTTTCTAATAATCAATAAAGGTATTGGAATGATGTTTATAATACTTTAATAAAACCCTGATATAAGTCTCAAAATCTATTCAAAAGTGCTTTTTTAGAAGTCACATTTTGTGACTTTGACTAGAAGTTATTTTGAAAAGCCGAAGTATTTATGACATCTGAGTAAGAAAATTATTTTTCAACGTAATATTTTTTTATGCTAAATCCAACATATGTTACGTTTAATTCAAATTTAACACAAACTATATGTTAAGTTTTGGTATTTTATTGTTATTTGATATATTAACTTCTGCATTTAATCTTTACCAGAATGTCATTTTCATTGAAAAGTAGATATAACATTTAATATAATCTTATATATTGAATCACAAGATAAAATATTAACTATGATATATTTTACTCTTTTTAGTGATAAATTTAACATTGTTATTAATATTCTTACACTTAGATAATCTCAAACTAAATTATTCAGATGTAAGTACATAAATTTTGAATAAAATAATAATAATAAAGGTAATTTTTAGTAAAGACTAAACAGATTGAATACATATTATTAAACAGAAAACGGGAAAAATATAATAAATATGTACCTATATACATTTAATAACAATAGAATATATCGAACTTGACTTCTAAATTCATTTTAGGCCCCTCATCATGAAAGTGAACAATCCTAAAATTAGAGTGATCAATAGTGTTATAGGTGTCGTGCCAATGCTAATGGGATATCTAGTGTTTTTGTGATGGCAGTACCCTATCACTTAGATCTTGTTTGGTAGGTGGGAAAAGTTGAAAAGAAGGACAGAAGTGAAGGAACTAGTGGAAAGATTTTAAGACTTGTGATTGCTTGGGAGGAGAAAATAACGAGAGAATAAATTGAATAAAGGATAAGAAACTCTCCCCAAAAAGGGGAAAAAACACCAATTTTAAGCTAGGATTGATAAGGGGGGAAAACTAGGAAGGAGAATATGTAATATATTCTACGTGAGAAAATAAAGAAATTAAATGATATTTTCTTTTATTGTATTTTTTTTTAATAAATAACTCGTTCATTTCGCTCATTTGAATTAAGAATTTGTGTTAAAAACTGATCTCATATAAAAAAATAATAATAATAAAAAAAACATTGTAACAAAAAATTTTAAATTTAAATTTTTATTTAAAAAAAATCACTGTAGCATAAACTTAAATTATAATTTACATCAACGAAATGAAAGGGCCTTTGGAATCTCTCGTTTAATCCACTGCATCTTCTTTTCTCTTCTAAACGAAATAAAACAAACTAGGGATTCCTCATTCCGATAAATATATATATATATATATATATATTTATTTATTTATTTATTTATTTATTTTTAAAAAAATTCTTTCATTACTCCTTTTTCGCCTTCTACTCTTCCCCTCCTACCAATAAGTTCTTAATAATGCATACTTTTTTTCCTGCCTATTTCCTTTCTCTTATTAAACAAGTCCGTAGAGTCAACAAACCAAGTAGTACGTTTGGGACTTTTAAGTGTGAGCGTTCAAATATCAACTTGATGATAATAAAATCATGTTGATAATATCGAGACGTAGTTCGAATTTCCTCACCATCTTATCTAATGAAAGGGTAACAACATTGGTGTTTTTTTCTTTCTTTCTTTTTTTTTTTTTTTGATGCTTTAGTAAAAATAGTGCTTGAACTAGTTGTAATTGATTTTGCTCATGTTCAAACATTTTCAATCCCTATTACATTTATATATATTTTTGGCTTGTGATTAATATTTAACATATTGATACGTTACCATTTTTAGTTATTTCCTTGGGGTTTTTGTCATTTTTATTGTTTTTTCATTTATTATTATTATTATTATTAGTATTTTTGCTTTTGTAATTTTAATGTTAAAGTGAATAAAAAGTCTTCAAAGGAACAAAAAGAGAGGCAAAAGTGTTGTCACGAACGCTGCAGCGAGGAGAACTACTGCTATAGTGGGCGTCTCGAGCTAAACTTACCCGAGACGATGTGTTTTGTTCGATGTAACGCAATATTAGGACGCTACTCAAGCCAGTTAGCCGCTACAGCAGATATAACTCCCACTGCAGCGGTCATGCCTTTTTGCTAGGGTTTTTTCCAACAACCCAAGCGGTGCTACATCGGGAAATTGATTTGTTGCAGCACTTGTCCACGTGGTTCTTTCATTTTAGGGCAGATTTTGTGCTAATTTGAGGGAGATATAAAAAGGAAATATGCTGAGAATGAAAGGAACTTGGAGACCTAAAAATCAGAACTCAAAAGAGAAAATACTAAGATTTGAAAGCTTTCTTGAGATCCAAGGAGGGATTAAAGATTGTGGAGCTCAATTGACATCTAGTTCTTGATTTTCTCTCTCACTTTCTCTCATTTAGCTTTTGAGTTTGTGTTATTTTTTTGGATTTGTGATTGAATGATGGATTGGGTTTTTAGTTTGTTTATAGATTTTATTTTGGGATTCTTGATGTCTTACTCTAGTTAAGCTCTTTGAGCTAGGGGTTTTGATGTAGCTCTATTATTACTATGTTTTGAAGAATCTAAGAGCTTGTTAATTAAATTTCATTTCAAGTCATTTGTGTTTCTCTACGTTAATTGTTCAGATTTGTGATTCTATGAATTAGAGATATAGATGTGTGGATTTAAGCTTGGGAAAATTATTTTCACATATTGGAATTTGAGAAACACAACCTAGAGCTTATTGAGTTCGGGATGATAATTTGACTCGGGTAAGCAAGATTAGGTTCATTGAATGAGTGCTTAATTGGTTAGGTTAATAGGGATATTGATTAATTGCACGCTATTTGGCTCGCCATTCGGTAGAGAGACTGAAATTACTTTTGAAAACCTCAGATAAATGAATTGAGTGAAATTAATTAACAAGCCTAAGAATCAGATTAACATAGCTTGGTAGAGTGAGTTCAAAGCCCCTAATTGCCATTTATCATCAGCGTTTCCTTCGACACTTTACTTTTGTCTGCAAATTGCATTTTTAATCGCCTTATTAGTTTAAAGCTCTTGTTTTAATTTAGTTATTATCTTTAATTCAACTGTTTAGATAAAATTTATGTTATTGTAGTTGTGGTAATTAGTTTATTTTTTAAAATACAATCTTTAAAGACGATACTCAATTTACTCATTTATTAACTTGAGGCGACTCGTGTACTTGCGAGTACACACCACACAACACATATGGACACGCTTTAAATTGTGTATTTACTAATATTACAAACTCATGCAGAAAACAATTCTTCCGTGGCAAATAAAATTTCATAACATCAGTGATTTTTCTTTTTCTTTTCTTGGTTTAATAACATGAAATGTCCAGATTTATGTACTTCGAAATAGCTGAGGAACTATAATGGAGGATAAACCTAAAATATTTATTAGTTGATTTGTTTATTCGTTCTTTACATATTGGATTCAACTATTGCAACTTATAGGGGAGCATACTCCCATGGAGAGTTGTCACCTACTGGATATACAAACTTTGATTTCTAGTCAAATTTAGATGAATGAAAGTCGACATCCAGTTCTGTGTTCACACAAGGTTGTGGAGCTGTGGTCTGAAGAAGTGTCAAGTAAAAGTGTGTTGCTGACTTGTCCATAGAGAGTGAGTATGTTGCACCTTGTGAAGCAGCAGAAGAAGCAGCCTGGCTTGGGAAGTTCTAAGATGCTCTAGAAGTTGTTCCAGGTATGGATCAACTGACTAAGCACTATTGTGACAACAGTGGAGCTGTGGCGAATTCAAAAGAGCCAAGAAGTCATCAGAGTGCAAAGCACATAGAGAGGAAGTATCATGTGATAAGAAAATTATGGATAGAGGCGATGTAGCGGTTCTAAAGATCAGGACAAAAAATAACTTAACATATCCATTTACGAAAATCTTGCAACGAAAGGTGCTTGATAGGCATTTAGAAGGCTTTGGGATTAGGTACATGTCTCACTTATTTTAGGACAAGTGGGAGATTGTTAGAAGTGGTATCTTAAAAGTATAAGATGTAATAAAGGATTTTCATTTATTTAATAAAAGAATATTTTCATTATATTGTGCATGTATTATTTGAATACTTTATGAATATTGTTGAAAATTCTACGATTATTTATGTGACTTTAAATATTGTATATAAGTATTATATACTAGAGGATAATATTTAAAGATAATAATCGAAACAAAGTCCATAACGAATTTGATTAAAATTTAGAATCTTTAATCAAGAAATTTATTGATAAATGTCATTCCCATTGTGAATGGAGCGGGCTTATCCACATCGTTGATATAGAGAGATATCGAATAAGTGTATTTTACATAATGTGATTATGTATGATTGGGACAAGACACGATTCAAAATTTTGATAATTTTGATTAAGTATAGAAATTCGAATCGAGTATACTGATGGTCATATATGAAACGATCTTAATTCTAAGTTATTAATAGACTCATATCTGTGGAGTTGTGTCTTTTGACTTACAGGTAAGGATCTCGACACACTTAGATTCAATTCCTAGTATCTTAGAGCCATGATGAAATAGATAGTTAGAATGTTAATATACAAGATTGAATTTATTCCTTCTTGAGAAAGAAACAGATAAATAATTCCCTTGCAGTGTTGATTCGCTACTTGGATTAATAGAGGCCTCAGTTCATGAATTTATTTTATAGAATCACTTTTCATTAGAGAATCAAGGAAAAGGAGGTAATTAGAAAGGTTAACGGATTTTACCTAACTCTAATTATAAATTATTTATAGATAATTGATCTATATGTAATGATTATATCAAATGAACATTTTACATATATAATTGTCTATAATATCGAGAGTGCAATATTAAGTTTATAGTGGAATAACTTTAGAATTAATAAGATTGATATATTAATTAAAAGAGTTTAATTAATTATTAATTTTATTAGAGTTTAATGTTATAGGCCCATAAATCTCCCGTCATCCTTGTAAATTCTATTAGACATAAAGGATATTATAGTAATTTAGAATTTAGAATTGTAAATTATAAATAACTCAGAATAAACTAATTATGAATTAATTTAAAAGTTAAATTTAAAAGTAGAATGGGGCGGCCTATTCTTGCAACTCTAAACGTAGGCACAGAGCATATTTTCAAATCCAATCCAACTTTATCCAAAGACAGATCACCCACTCTTACTGATATGATGAAGTTTGTTTCTGAATGGTTTTATTATGAAGAAAACACAAATAATTTTTGTGATACATTGAGCAATGATTTTACTAAGTTTGAGGGAGGTGGTCAGCTTACAGATTCTTTGGGTGTGACCAAAGGTGAGGCTATGGATGATCAATGTGGTCTTGAGATATTTGAGGAGATGCAAAGTGAACCAAATAACCAAGATGGAGAAATTGGAACCATAGGCACAAACTTAGAAATTTGACATTTGAGGATAATATTTTTGTTGATTTGGTTGTTAAGCCATCTATTCTTGTTAGCCAATTTATTGGAACACTAGGGTTTGCTTTTGAGGAATTCAAGACTGAAGATTCAAGTGGGCGTCAATGGCGATGAACTTGGAATTTTGTGGCATTCTGTTGGAGCATTGTCTTGGTGCCTTTGTGGGTTTGGGATGTGATACGGAGGAACTATGGCTTATCACTCCCACGAGCCTAAACGGGAGTCTTTTGTCACTATCGGTGTCGCTCGCTACATCACATTCGCTTTTCTTGTGCTTCTATTAAACTCAAGGTCGAGTTCTTACCAAAGGAGTGAACTGATGTAAGAGAATTTAGTTATAATAGTTGTTTTTATATTTTCTATTATTGTATATTCTAACTTACCAATTTAGTCTTGTTTTGTTAATCGTAGGTCGTTTGTTTTAGTGAACATTTTATTATCATTTTGTGTGTGAGCTATAGATAGTCGCATTGTCTATTGTAATAGTTAGACTTGAATATTGAGAATTGAATACAAACTTGAGTGTTTTCTTTAATTTGGGGATTTTTTCCCTTGTGGGATCTCTTTAGGTAGATTTTGGACTCTAAGTCCTATCTTCCATCCGGATGAGCCGGAAAAATTCTATCCTATCCATTCCGCTACATCAAAATCTCATATTGTAATTCCACACTCAGGCAATACTTATGGAGGAGATTTGGTAACAGTACAGATAACTAGCGGCAGCATTACCTTATTATTTCAGTGGAGGTGGGCACTGAAGGATAAAGTTCTTAGGAGGTTTATATGGGGATGATCAATTTTTAGTGGGAAAAAAATTAAGAAAAACGTAAAGATTTTAAAGATAAAATTGGGGAAAAAAAAAATCCAGAGAGAGAGAGAGAGAAGTTCAGTCACCGTCCACTCGACCATGGTTGGTTCCACTACTGCAGATAACCAATATTAGACAACACTGAGCGATATCAATGAATATGTCATATAAGCCTTTTATCATAGCTAAGATCTAATGAGAAATAGTAGAATCTAACTAACAATTAAATTCAATTCAAAAATTGATAATCTACAAACACAGATGATAGATTTCATTCCATTGGGCTAAAGTTCAAGGACATAGGAAATCCACTAAACAATTAGAGAATTTTAAATTAGCAAATATGTTTCAAAGATAACAGATAAACGCACGTTGATAAGATAATATTGTATAGCAGTAAGAAATTACTTTGGTGGATTTGTTGGTCAAAGGTTCCAGTACATAGGATAATAATCCACGTCTCCTTTCTGTTGGTACATTTGATGGGGTCGGGATGACTTGCTCCTTGATAAGGGGTGAGCATAATAATAAGACTTTCTATGCACATATTTATTAGCGTCCTAGAAACACTATTAATCAGAGAATATGCTAATACGAGTCGCTTTCTTTCTAGACGATCATTTAGCTAAAAGAAAAAAGAAAAGAAAGAAAGAACAACACATGGTTCTGAAAAATTTGCATATCACCTTATGGCCAAACCAAAGAACCTCCTGCACTTGAAATCAGTATAAAAATGGCATGCATGCGTGCATCCTCTCAAGCTAATATTCTCGTTCTCCCACCAGTCTTCCATCAGTTTGCAAGGCAACACGAAAGAGAGATAGTCAGTAGGTGATTCTAATATTAAACTTATTGATTGGTTTAATTTGCATAGAGGAACAATATTTTGAACTGATTTCTAAAGTAAGTGCAACAAAGTAAAATAAAATGTTATTTGACCCATTTGTTTAATTTTAAACGTCCTTCCATCGGCTAAGTTAGTCCCAACAGGATGGATTTCCATAATTTTCTAGTGTTTTATATAACCTCAATTTTGCATCCACATATGTGCGCTATCCATAAATGTATCTATAGGCGGCAAATGGGCAAGTTGTTTAGAGCATCTCTTAAAAAAGGGCTGGTTGAGTTCAGAACTATAATAGGTCTGAGCTAGGCTCAACTGCCAGCATGAAATTCAAAAATCTAGAGGAAGTCCTTATAGTTAGAGAGCATAAAAAATTAATAGAACTTTTTTCTTAAAAAATGTAGGATTTATTAATCTTGTTGTACATGTAGAATCAGAATTCACATGAAAATTAAACAATCACCAAAATTCATTTAGTTGCCATTTTCGAGTCCTGCCTTTAATCAACGGCCATACACTCCCCAAGTTATGAACAAGTATAGGACTAAATCATAACTAGCTGCAGTTTTTCGGAAGACTGTTTATCATTTATAAGTAAGCTACATGAGAATCTCATAGTCATAATCCCAGAGTAAAATAACTTGATGCTAAAGGGATGAGTTAAACAACAAATTCTTCTAATGTAAAACGTACCTTTTCTTTAGGAGCTTCATGTGGTGTTCATCATTTTCATGGACATGATTTAAGCTGTGGAAGTCGGAAGCGAGAGTTCTGAAATTTTGGCATTCCTGAACACATAGATGCTCCAAGGAAGGGCACTTCAATGAGGCATTTCCAGTGTAGAAACTGCTAAGCATAGGCAGATTTTTAAGAAACAATGTCTTCAATCGCGGTATTACTACCTCCAAAGTGATTTCGAGTTCGCTTCGAATGACTTCCTCCATTAGGTCACATTCCTCTACCCAGAGATCTTCCAGTTGCACAAGACTGCCGGGGATGGACACCGAAAAGAGATTCCTTAGCTTCTTGCATCGGATCACCATCAGAAACTTAAGATTTCTGAAATCAGCAAAGCGCTCCGGGCCTCTATATACGTTTGCTAGTTCATACAAGTTCTCCAATCTGATCTCTTGTAATCTTCCCAAATACCCTTGTCCTTGTTCCAGTCCTTCAAATCCAAACACCTCTTCCACAGAGTTGACATTCAGAATAAGTTTCTCTAGATTGCCTAGCCTCGTTATCAAGTTCGGAGGTAAAAGCGAATTGATCAAACCATTACATTGTTGAACCTCCAAGTATTTTAGCCTCTCAAAAGAACCTGTTGGTAGCTCGCCGACACATATCTTCTCCAAAAAATCCATGTGGAAGATTCGCAACTCCTGCAAACTCTCAAACACAGGTGCAGAATCACCCGGACTACCGTTATTCGTTACACACATAAGGTTGCATACCTCTTGGCACTGCTCAACAACAAGAGACTCCAAACCGGAGAACTGCCCGTGTTTGTACTCTTCCAACATGTTCAAATCCTCGCAATCTGAATAGATTAACTTCTCTGCTTTCTTCGCTACCACCTCGATGAACCAATTTGGCAACTTCTTCATCTGGATATCAACGAGCAAGTTTGTTGAATATACATGACTCGCCTTTTTTGACAAGTTGACATTCATCATCCGGGTAAATTGTTCTCTGCATATGCATATGTCAAATTTCTCCCAATTTGGAACAGTTTCTATGTTCCTGGGCAAGCACTTCTCATTTTCCATATCGACCTTCAAGATTCTTAAGCGGCGTAGATTTACCAGCTCATCGAAAAACACATTCCTTCCTTGATGCGTAGTAGCGGTGCCTGGTTGCATTGCGTCCTCCCATCTCCAAAAGCTTCCTTTTAAGTACAACTCCTCCAAAGAATACAGACTTGAAATTAATTTAGAAGGGATCTTCTGGATGTTGAAACACAAAGTAAGATCCAACAACCTTAGATTTCTCAACTTCCCCATATCTTCTGGCAATGCTTCGATTAAAGATTCACGGAGACTAAGTATCTCAAGTGTCTCCAACACTCCAAGTATAGCAATGTCGTTAAATTTGCAACGATCTAGATGCAGGGTCCGCAGGTTCTTTAGCGACTCGATTGATGAAGGAAGTGAGGAAGCTTGAATTCCATTTAGATTCAATATCAAGAGATCGTTCATCCATTTGAAGAATGTGCTTGGGATCTCTTTTAGAGAGCTGTTCTCCTGCAACATCAAGGTTTGTAGTTTTGTGCAATCTAGGACATCAGGAAGTCTGTTGATCTCGCTGCACATCAGAGAGATTGCACCGTATCGTTTGTAAGTTCGCCTTGTAGGCCATTCCTTTTGCATCCGACCAGTATGTACCAAGAAAAACGGCTCCTCTCCACCATCACGATCAGCGCTTTTTATCCGTATGGCCACATCACGGACAACATCATGCATTTTCACTTGCTCCTTCTTATCACCATCCAATAACAATCCTGAACCTATTAGCTTTTTGGTAATCAAATCAGCTTCTTTTCTTGCTTCTTCTATTGTGTCGGCTTCTTTAAACAGGTCGAGTCCAATGCCAAACCTTGCCAGCTCTTCCATGCCAACATTATGATCTTCCGGGAAAAGACAGCAAATCAAGAAACAAGCCTTTTCCTTTCCCTTCAAGAAATCATAGCTTAACTTTATACACTTGACCGTGGCTTCGTCTTCATCTTGGTTAAAAGGCATAGATCTTTGAAGTAGTCGAGCCGCCGTCTTCCACTCTTCGATGTCCTTGTCTGCAAGCGCCTTTGCGACTGCTATGAGTGCTATAGGAAGCCCCCCGCATTCTTTAGCAACCAACTTACCAATCTCCTCGAATTTCCGTGCTTCGAAATTCGTACCTGCCGTCCTCTTAAAGAACTCCCACGAATCTGGTTCAGACAAATGCTGGAGTTGAATCCTTATGCTCTCCATTAGAGTGCAAACCTGTTGCAGTCTTGTGGTGATTATAATTCTTGACTTGCAATCCTCTAGCTCACTACCGTAAGGAATTCCGACGCTGTCTAAGTCCAGCTTTGTCCATAGATCATCCAAAATAATGAGGACCTTCTTCTCTCGCAATATTCTGTTCCTTATCTTAGTTGATGCAGCTTCGTCACTACATGCTCCCAAGGATTCTAGGCCAAGCTCGTCCGCAATTTTGTTTCGAATTGTTCTCCGATCCGGATTTTGTGATACAGTTGCCATGACCACGATGCTGAACAACCTCTCGGATATGGCTTTTGTGGCTACTTGTTTTACCATCGATGTCTTCCCCACGCCACCCATTCCATGTACTCCGATGACTCTGGTGCCGCCACTCCTCAACGCTTCCATGACCTCATCCATAGCTTTCTCCGTCGACGAAAACAACATAAACTTCCGCATCGACTCTGTTCGCCTGAACTCCGGCGGTCGCTCAGCGCGAGGAAGAGCGACGTTGTCGAACCTTTGCTCTTTAAGGATATCGTCGACAACGGAAGCCATGTCCACTGCTTCTTTGCTTAGTCTCCAGCGCCAGCGACAATCGGGAAGACACCCACTACCTGAGCACCTCTTGTTTTTTTCGCTCCGATCTTTCAATGCTTCGTGCTCTTTCAACAATTTGTCCGCTCTTTCTTGCCATTCTCGGACTTCTTTTCTGATTTCTTCGTCCCGGGATTCCGCTGCTCGGACGATTGCTTCAACATCATCTCTTCGAACTTTGAGCCTCCCGGCTTTTTCGACGAGGGCGTCGACGTTCTTCTGGTAGTGTTTGAAGTAATCATAAGCACTGCTTATTGGATTCCACAACTTTTCTGCGCCATCGATGGCTAAACTTGCAAACTCCGCCATAGCTGCTTGAAGATCTTTCTTGCTTGGTTCTTTCTTTAGGCTGATGATCTGCTAATTGCTGGGTCTTTTCTTTTCTTTTCAGGTTATTTTCGTAAATGCCCTCAAACTATATATCTTATTTCAAAATGTTCTCTAATTTTTCAAAATCATTCAAAATACCCCGTAATATATAAAAAATAATTAAATTACCCCTTCTATTTAGATCCGTCTGCTATATTAACGGATTCAAAATATTAAAATGTTAATGAAGTAAAAAAAAAAAAAAGAATGATTATTAAAAGTAGTAGACAAATACTTTTTTTTTTTCTCTCATGTTTGTTCGTCTTCGTTCAGGGTTTTGTGTTTGGTTTCCGAATTTTTCTTTATAGTAATCTGGGTAATTGGAGAAAAAGGGTAAGTTTACAGAGTGGTTGGACTTGAAAACTTCATCTTCTCTTTTGGTTTCTAAAGGCAAGCCTCCTACACAAAACAAAGCACTCTCTGTTTTCTTTTTTCATTTTTTCTTTATCAAATGACAGAGCACAATCTTTTCGCATCCTTCTTTATCCATTTTTTTCCCTGAATATTACTTATGGGTTTCATGTATTATGTACAAATCTAAACTATGTGCGATTAAAAATTTGAACACATCTATAAATCTAAAACCCAGCCATCCGAAATGAAAGTACCTAGCCAATCTCTTTAAAATCTAAAAGCCAATAAACGATGCCTTTGAAGGAAAGAAATAATTGATCTCGCCGGAATTGTGATCAAGAGTTGGGCGAGAATAGTACGATATCTTTTGCTAAATCTCATTTGAATAGAATATATATATATATATATATATATATGCGGAGATGCGAGAGCAGAAAAGGTGAGATGAGTTTTTCTCTCATCTTTTTTTATAAAAAAAAAAAAAAATCTCCCTTAAATAGTGGCTTCGTTCAAGCAAACCCAGAAAAATACCTACCCAAAGCCAATACAAAGCACCAGACGGGATCAAAAGAGAGAGAAAAAAGAAAATGAAATCCAGACACAAGCAAATGAAGAAACAATCTTCTCCCATCCGAAGGTCTTTGTTTTTTCGTTCAATTTAATTTCCAAACTACTCATCTTCAAAACAAACAATGATAATGAGTTAAACGCTTAAGATTTAAAAAGAAAAAATTTTTATTTCTTCTTTGTTATCAGTTTGGTATTTAATCTTTTGTAAAGAATTAGAATTTTACATTTAGTTGACTTTTGACAGCATCCCACGTAAACAATTCCGCTACGTTAATAAACGATTTAGACGGAGGGACAATTTGAACTATTTTTTATACATTAACGTGTTTTGAATGATTTTAAAAAACTAAGGGTTCTTTAAAATAAGATATATAGTTTGAAGGACATTTATAAAAATAATCATTTTTCCTTTTTTTTCCCTCTTCGTAAAGGAAAGAACCGAATTTTTTTATTTTTTCCCTAGATCTGTTATATATGCGTACATTCACAGCATTTGGAAATGTCAAATTTAAGTTGCCGTAAGTTTAAGTTGGGAATATTTTAAGATTTGTGTTTTATTGTGTTGAAAAATAAGTGTTTTTTTAAGAAACTTGAAAAATAATTGGAAAAAAAAAGCTTAGAGAGAGAGGCTACAAGAAAGAGAGAAAGTTTTTTAGTGCTTGGCCGGAACTCCGCTGCCGTTTATGGGCGCGTCATCGGGCTTCTGGCCCCGTGATTCAGTCCCCGGTCTCCTCTCAACATCAGCTTTCTTATCAGTATTTAATTAGAGAGACAACCATCAGGACAACACAATTAGGACAGCAGATCTAAACTCATAACGAATATATTAAAAATTTTAGAACAAAAATCAACTCTTGGTGTTACATGAGAGCAAGGATGAAAGAGTTAACCTCACAAATTATGAGGTTTTGATTTATGGATAATATTAGAGGAAATATTGAAAAAAAATATTTATTTACAGAAAAAATTAGTGAGATTTTTTAGTGTGTCTGATTTACCGGTAGGTTAGGTTTTTTTAACCGTTAGATATGCATATTTTTTAATTTTTATGTGATTTTATACAGATCTGACAAAAAAATTAACCTATCGGTATGTTGACGTACTAAAAAATATATTTTTTTAATTATATTATTTTTTCTCATATGTAATTCAACATTGTAGCGAGCTTTTGTCTCTTTTTTTAACGTTCGTGAATTGAAGTGAAATGCATGCATATACATATTTATCTATGAATGTTTGTACAACGATAAAATGTATTAAATAATAACAAAATAAATTAAAAACACTTTTTTCTAATTGCAAAACGTTTAAATAATTTTTTAAAGAAAGTTAAATCATTTATATGTGCAACTTGAATACTAAAGATTTTATTTGAAAAAAAAAAAATTGAGCATAATACTATTAATTATTATTGTACGGACAATACAATAATTTTACAAATCAAACTAATCTTTCTCTCTTTCTTCTTTTTTAATACCAAATAAAGGAGAAAAATAATAACAATCACACTTTCCTATTATACTAACAACTTTAAAAAAAATTACGATCTATCTTTTTATTTTTAAATTCTTTTTTTCATATTTTATTTATCTTTCTACTAATTCATCCCTCTTACTAAACCCTCTTACTAAACCGACTTTAATTGTCGTTTATGCTTGGTTGCACCATCAATCATTGTCAATCAAGCTTGGTCGAATGCCTCTTTCAGAAATTAATTTTTAGGTGTCATTTAATGGTTTGTCGTAGATACTCATTTTTTGACACCTGTTGCAAATAATTATGATATGTACTATGAGTTAAGTTGCACTAGAGGACCTAGCTACAGACTTATTGGAACTGTCTCATTGGCATGTGCCCTAAAAACAGGAGAGGCGACCACTATAATACAGTTTTATTTTTTTTAGGTGTTATGAAAATGAAAACAACAAAATTAAAAAGTGATGAAAATTAACACCAAAAAAAACCCTAAGGACATTTAGGTCTTTTCTGTCAAAATCTAATATTGATTGAGAAAATGTGAGATTTGAACATTAATTTACAATTTTCAGATAATCTATACAAATTACAATAGTCCAAACTACCTAATGATATTTTTTATGACTTTAAAATACAAGACTGTTAGGAATTCTGTCAAATATAAAGTAAGTGAAAAATAATACAGATAAATATATGTAGTTTGGCTTCTAACCTTCTTCTCTACATGACGAAGAGGACAAGGAATTTCTACTAAAATAACAAGTAAATTACAAAAAATTCTTTGTCCCTTACAAAATGCCCATGAGTCGAATACACGTACAATTCTCTCACAAAAGGGGCTAAGAGCGATGTTTCTCACTTTCATGTACTCAGATGAAGCAGTTTTGAAAGCTCTCCAAATGGATGCATAAAGTAAGACCAGTTTGGCATCACTGTGCTATTAAAAATTTCTACTATTATTGTGTTTTTAGTCAGAAATTATTGTAATCAGAAGTATGTAAGTGTTTAATAATTTTTTTTTTTAAAAGTTTTTGTGAATACTAAAAGCAAGAATTTAAATGCTTTACAAAATTACTGTGAAGATTAATAAAAACTAAAATAGACATACTTTAGCAACATACTTATAATTAGTTTTATTTCTATTTTTCTACTTAATATTCATAATATTAGCATTGGACATGAATCGCTAAAGTTTTATTGGAATCTGGAGGCTCACAATTTGTGAACGTTCCACTGAAGGAGCGAAAATAATTAGGCTAAGGTGCGTTGTGTATTATGACTGCTATAAAGTATTTGTGGTGAAAATCTTCCTTAAAAAAGCAGTGACAACGAACAAATTTAAAATTCAAATTTAACGGCATTGTTTAGGAGAAGAAAGAATATAAACAAATTAGAACTGCAGATACGCTTTGATCCACCATTTGCATTTTGATATTATTAGAAATCCGCACATACGCTTTCATTCATCATTTTTAAGCATTTTGATAATTATAATATATTATTTTTTATTATTAAATTTTATCATAAGATATTTATTAAAGATTTTTAATATTCAAATAAATATTTAAAATAAAATATATTCTTCAATTTGATATGGAAGATTAAGGCACCGTTCATTTCACCGATTCGAGTTTAGAATTCGAGTTTTATTACAGTAAAAAACTCTCAGAAACAGTCACATCTAACTTTTTTACTACAGTAAAAAACTCTCATATAAAATCACATCTCAACTCGAATCAACGAACTAAACATGCTCTAAAAAATTAATGAATAGATTGAGAATTAAGTTTTATTATTATAATTATTTTAATAAATTTGGACAATAATAATAAAAGTTGTTGTACAAAAATAACTCATGACTTACTTTTTAAATTCTGTTCTAAGACAGTAATTTTTAGAAGCTGTTAATCAAAAATAAGTTTTACAAAACACCTTAATTTACTGTAATTTTATAAAAAATGCTAAAAACAACTTCTAAAAATAATATCAAACATGCCCATAATGACATTTTGTACCGTCTCACAGGCCACCAAAAAGCTACATCCTTAAGCAGCGACTTGTTGGTCTCCGAATCGAATTCGAATGCAGAAGCGTGTGGGGAGGCGGATCGTGTATAACAAAAATTTTCATAAAACCTTTGAGATACTCTATAGATTATATTAATTTATACACAAATAAATTAATCTCATTAATTCATTTATTAAAAACTCAATTACGAATAATACCCGGCGGCGGATTAGGATGATAACTTGAGTTCTTTGACCTCGAACAATCCTTGCTCCAAAGCTTTGTGTTTAGAAAATCAATGTCTTCCATGTCAATTACTAGAATCCACGAAGACGTGTGTGTGGGCACACATGAGACAAAACGGGTTAGAATAAACACTCGAATTTCCATAAACACCAACGCATGCACGATGTGGAATTTTTGGAGAAAAATTTTTTCTTCCCTCTAAGAGAATAATTTCGGCCACCTTATTCAAATTAGGGCAAAAATTATTTCAAAAATTGTCTCGTGCAATTTTCTATCATTATCTTATTTATAGAGTAGAAGTCAAACTTCTA